TTCTCATGCAACCCTACTGGCAACTTCTCAGTGACTGCGAACGGAGGGAGGGAGGGGAGGGGAGAGTGAAAGACGGGGATGCTTTCTAGCGCAAATGGTCCTTCTCAACACCCTGCTTTGCTTCTGCTGGGCCCACGATGAGTCAGCGGCTCTCAATTAGCCTCTCTCTCTCTCTCTCTGCCCCCCCATCCCCAACTGAGCAGCAGCGCCCTGTTCTAGTTAGGGAGCCATTACTGGCAGGCAAAACAGGCAAGAATCGCTAAACGGCGTAGGAGGACGGGGAGGTCCGAGGTGTAGTAGGGTCGGGCACGAAATCTAAATGGGGCCCTCTCCCATGGTTTAGAAAAGAACACCGCCCGTGGAGGAAACCAGTGGCCTGTTATAAATGATGCCTAGGCGGTGCCACCGGAGGCGGCTACCTCCCCTCCCCATTGGGGCCAACTCGTGTATCTATAATTCGCCAGAACGCCGTTCAGGGTTCATTTTAGAATCAAGCGGAGGAAGTCTTTTCTCTCCCTTCCAGAGCCTTCCCATCTTCCTGGGTTCGGGGCTCCAGGAGGTCCCTTGGGCCGCTTGCTTGCTTCCCGCTCCACGGCCCTTCTCTTTGCCCGGTCCGTCCCTGAAGGCCGAACGGAGCGAAGCAGTTCTTGTGAGTCCCGCACAAAGTGTCACCACGGCCCGCCCTTGGGAAAGAGTGGTGGAAGGCGAAGACGAGGGCCGGCGGGTGGGACTGGGATTCGAGCCGGAGCCTCGTCGCTCCCGGCAGCCTGCGAGGCAGGTGGGTCTTGAGACTGGCAGCTTGGAAGTTGCCTCGGCGCTCCGCTGCACCCCCGCACCCCCTCCCCAGCCCTGAGCTTTCCACAACTTCGCCTCCCGCCCACAATGAGCACAACGGGGTGAAAAAAAGTGATTTTGAATCCGTACTCGAATTTATAAGATGGCCATGGCCCGTTTGGAAACTGCCCTCAGATCCACCACAAAACGGTTCTCCCGCCTGCTGCATTTCCCAGCGTCTATCTGAGAGGAGGGAATGAATGAGAGCAGGCTATGACTGCTCGCTGAAGACTCCATTAGAGGCGAGCTTGTCTAGTTTTACTTTTACCTGTGTACTTTGGTTTTCCCCTCCAGGTGGACTTTCCCCCTCAAGGGTGGCATATAAATATTTAAATAGCAAGATATAAATACAAGTATAATATCACCCCTTTTTCATACTGATAGGGTTTCCAAAGACCAGGTCTGTGTGAAATGAAATATGCCCTAGCTTCTCATTTGTTGCACAATGGCCAGGCATCTTCCTCCCTCAAGGCTGAGCTTTTCCATCATTCAAAACATTGCATTTTGTTCTTAGGGGAATCTAATACTTCTGGGATCGCTCATTTCCCTGTGCTTGGGAATGTTGTGCAGAAGGCTTTGCATTATATACACATAATGCATATTCTTTGTGACATACCTCTTCTCTTCTTCCCCCCATTCCACTCTTTTCTGCTCTAGGCTAGTAAGGTGTCTCTCCTGCACATCCATTTTAGCAAGTGGTAGGAATTACAAAGGGCATCTCAGAGCGGCTGAAATCTGGCAGTGAGTCACAGTATGCTCATTGAATCAATGGAACTTACAGTACAAAGGGCACCTCAGAGTGGCTGAAATCTGGCAGTGAGTCACAGTTAGAGTATGCTCATTGAATCAATGGAACTTACAGAGGAACTGACTCAGAAAAACCCCTCTGATTCAGTGGGCCTACTCTAGTTGCAACTTAACACTGGGTTTCAGCTGGAGTTTCTTATTAGAGCTGCATTGATCCCTTAGAGCAAAAATGGGATATTTGCAGCTTCTAGCTTCAAAAAATTAAAAGTTTTCTCTAGTGACTCAAACTGAAAACTTTTCTCCTCCCCCCTTTTTTTTTGGCACACACATTTCTAGGCAGCGCCTGGTCTCAGACCTCACTCTGGCAAGTAGGTGTGACTAGCACTCCAGGCACATTGGGAGGAAAGGATGCTTAACTTAATGATCCATCGGTACTGTTTGTGTATGATCAAACCATATCAAGCCTACTGGGAGAGCTGCTTTGCATAAAACTGTTATGTCTAACCCAGCTTCTTTTTCTTATTCTTATTTTATTGCAATGACTGAGCTTCCTTCTTGCTATATTCGATCTTGTGTATGTGTGTGTGGCAGGGGAAGGAAGACAGAAAGTAAGGGAAGGTAGGAAGCCCCCCCCCGCCCATGCATCTACTTTGCTTGTGTAGGTGGCCTCAGGGTTAGCACTCTCGGCCTTGGAAGAGAGGATGTTTTAATTTTACTTGGGTTTTTTTTAGCATGCTGTGGGATTTAAAAAAAGTACCACTGGAATGTGTGCAAATGTGCACAGTTGAAAACAGACTTACAGTTAGAGAAACAGGCAAAAAAGTAGGTAGCATATATCTGTTCATTAAGAACTTACAGAAACAGGTAGCATCGTCTACTAGTACAATTTATATAAGGGTTAGGAAACATTTGGTTTCCATACAAAACAAAATTGCTCGGATTGTATGAAAACAACTTTGTTTTGGCCAGAACCTATCCTTCATCATCTTCTCCAGTACCTCACATCTACAGGCCCCAGTAGACACCAAAACAGTACTCTGCCATAAGATTGTAGTGGTGGGGAGGTGGTCAGAAAAATCTACTTTTAAAAGAAACCTGGTGGAAGGATACTTTGGAGAATTTTGGGTAACGAGTGGTTAAATGGTTTGGGGGCCCATGCAGAGGGACCTTAATCGTTGAAGAGGACTTGAATCCTTATCTCACTTAAAACAGAAAAAAACTCTTGTCACTTTCCCTTTCTGTTTACCAGTGGCCAAGAGTACTTACAGCTAGCTAAAGGACGGGCATGCGTGCAGGGGGAGGTCACTAATTTGTATTGATATTGAGTATATACCCAATTATAGTACAGTATATTTTACCAAAAGTTCAGGGGAGGCTCTTTGTAAAATGACAGAATCTGTCTGTGGTTTCTTATTCATAAGAGATGAGAAGAAACAGGCAGGTTATTGAAGAGAAAATAAGAACAGAATTCACATTTCACTAGGTAACATTTGTCCATGAACCAGAAGTATTGCAGGTCTGGGGATCTTTCAAACAGTGTATCTACTTGAGATCAATTTCAGGTGAACAGTGAAAGAGCAGGATTCCCCTCTCTTTCAAAGCATGTACAAAAAATCACTCACCAAAGTAAAATTGATGTGGATAGTCTGGTGGCAAGCAGTTCCCAAGTCCATTTCCAATAATCCCATATTTTACTTTCTTTGCCAAGATAGATTTCAGTCTTCGGTTAGAAAATAAAATATGTGTCTGATAATGATGATGATGATGATGCCTTTTCTCATGCAGTTTTGATCAAACCAGCCTAGGAGCAGCTTTTCTAATTGTCCTGAATTACATAGAGAAGACTCTCAGTCTAGGGAAAAGGCACCCAGTCTCAAGTTTGTATTCTGTTGCTTTAATGAAAATCTGTACTTCGTTCTACAGACTTAAGTATTTACAGACAATTTGCTTTCTTTCTCAGCAGTACAGAGTGGCAATCTGCAAGATTATTTTTGTGCTGACTTAGTGCAATATCTTAGTTTGGTTATTTAAGCTTAATGTAATATAGTTCTGATTACTGTACAGTTTTAATTGTTGTGACCTGCCTTGGCTCCTTTATTGGGAGAAAAGTGGCATATAAATAATATAAACAAATATATAATAAATAGTTTTTCATACCAGGATAGTTTGATGTATATTTTACACATTTTATGAAATGATGGCTTTTTTATTAAATTAAATTTTGTCAATTAGGTAAATAATTCCTTGATTTTATATATTTGTGGTGTGTGTGTGTGTGTGTGTGTGTGTGTGTGTAAACAATATATATCTGTTGCCTTTTAGCCAAGGTATCAATCAAATAGTCAATTACAATTAAATATTTTTGCAAATTCGGAAAGCCTAAAATTGTTTGTGGTAGTCAGAGAAATGTGAGATGACTCACAAAACTGGACCCTCTCCTTCAGACTCTTCTTTTGGGGAAATCCCCAAGGGAGGGAGGGTCCTTGGTCCCCTGTTGTTTTCTTTACACATTCTCCCTAGGAGACCTCATTAAATTCTGCTCCCTATAGACTAATGACAGTTAGCTATACACTTGATCTACTCCCATCCATTTCCACTACTCCAACACTGCACCTGAATACTATATATGAGTATCACACAGCATTCTGAAACTCACTACTGTTTCTGAGCTGAAACAAAGGGCTGAACGTCATGAACCTATATATGCACCCTCCTCAAAAAGCGTCAGCTCAAGCATTCAGTGGGAAGCACTTAAGAGGCACAAATATGTTCAAAGGGATTTCTCTTCTTTTGACAATAGCACATATACATACACAGCAACAGAACTTAAGATTTTAATGCATGTTGATGTACAAC